TGGTCTCAAAATCCTGCCCTCAATCCATCCTCCCAGAGTGCTGGGATTACAGGTGTGAGCCACTGTGCCCGGCCATAATATATTTCTAATGTTTATTTTAGTTTTTCAAGATGTTCAGCAAAGAATCTTGTGGGAAAAAAGAGAAGTCTCGGAGAAAAGGCACCACTTCGTCACCCTACTTTGGTGAAAAAGTAAGAATTTTGATTTACTGACCTAAAGATGCCTTTTTAAACAATTTGTTTTTGTTTAATGAAAAAATACACCTCATGATTATAATGAGTTATGTAAACATTTTGTTCTGCCCAGCCGACCTAGGAGAAATCATTTGCTTTTCCTGTTCTTTATTTGCATGATTTTATTTATTCCTCACAACTCTGTGAGGGTAGGTATTAATATTCTTATCCCGATTACTTAGATGAAGGAACTGAGGCTTAGAGGTAATTTGCTTAGGCATTCCTGACTTCAATTCTTAGCCCCCCAAATCCTCTCATTCATAGCAATAACTCACCATTGGACCACTTTCCACATTTTCTCCCTTTTCCGTTTCCTCAGCATTGGCTAGGATTGAACTTTCTTCAGTCAGAATGGCCAACACTATGTGAGGGAGCCTAATAGTAGGAAAGACATATTTACCATGTTCCTTTCTCTATAACTGTTAGCACATTGCCTTAAGAAGTGTTTTGGGAGATGAAATTTAGGATACCTTATTAATTGAGCTGGGTATTGTCTCCAGGAAGAAGACTGCAATGTGATTGATGTAACCAAAGCAAACAAACAAAAAACCATGTAATCAATTTTAATATATGCTTTCTGAATAGTCTATATAGTTCATCATCAGAATTAGATAGTATTTTTGCTATATTACTGTGCAAGATGAGAGACTAATCTGGCAAAGGTGAATATTCACTAAAGAATTAGTTTCTTTGGTAGCAGGTTAGTTTATAAGACTTTTTCATGACCTGTATGAAGTATTCCACATATCATTGCACTTTTTGGTATTTATTTCTTGCCTGTTAACTTTATGATTGCTAATTTGATCTCCTAAGTACAGTGATAATTGGAAAGTACTCTGTACTATTTATCTACCTGCCCCCTCCATTTGCCATTAATAATTGGCATGCTGTTTGCAATTCTCTCTCATTCCCGCTTTTTAAAATTTTTTATTTGTATAAATTTAAGGAGTACAAGTGCAGTGTTGTTACGTGATATATTGCATAGTGGTGAATTTTGGCCTAGTTTAACCTAAAAATGTACTTTGTATCCATTAAGTAATTTCTCACCCCTTATCCTCCTCCCATCCACACCTCATTCTGACTACCCAGTGACTGTTATTCCCCACTCTATGTCTGTGTGTACACATTATTTAGCTCCCACTTAGAAGTAAGACCATGTGATATTTGACTTTCTGTTTCTGAATTGTTTCCCTTAAGATAGTGGCCTCCAGTTCCATCCATGTTGCTGCAGAAGACATGATTTCATTTTTTTATTGTTTTTTTCGTCAATCTCTTTCCGCTGTCTAGAATGTCTTTGGTACATGGTAGATGCTCTAAGCAAGTTTGTCCAAGGTGTTTTGAATTCAGAATCCACTGGAAAATGACTGGATTTGTAGTTTTGCTTTGTAGAAAACTGAACCTCACCGTGGCAATGCCACCTCACAGCAGCCTTCTCTGAACTGTCAGCTGGCCTCCTGCTCTGACATGTGTATCCTATCTCATCTCTAATTCTAGAAATAGGGAAGTTGAATTTCCCTTCCTCTTACCAAAGTTTGTGTATCTTTAAACATTGTTCCCC